AAAGATGGCTCAAACTCAGTTAGTATATTAATTACTTAATACATAAAATACTGTTGATAATAGCTAGTTACACTCTAATCACTTCATTATTTTAGGGCAGTAACTTCCAATTAATAGTTGTAACTAATGGAAACAATACATTTGGTATTGCTCTGTATGTTAGTGTGAGTATTGCATCGGCTAGCACTGGAATAGGTTCATATATTAATGGTGATCGTATACAACCTGATCCTTCTTTCTTTCCATTTGTTGACAATGTCATGGATGCTCCTACCATGATGTCCAATAGTACCATACCAGGGACATATATATTTTCACTGAATAATATACCACCAGGTATATGACTATATAGTACATCAACTGATCCATATAACTATATAACTTGTATATCTTTTAGATACTTGCAGTTCTGTCTGCTTTTCTTGTAAAGCCAGACTTGCTCAGTTGGCATGTGAGGCAATGAGGATCAATGGAGAAGATGTACCAGCTTCTTGTAACAACTAATGACAATACTTCTTATTCTGTCTTGTTTTTGCTTTTGTGATTAAAATTATCTTTCAGTAGTGAATTAGTCAATTTTAACAGTAGAATATAATATAGTTGTTATTAATTTGTCATGGATTATTCTTAATAATTATTTTTGTAAAAAATAAATGTCAGACAAAGAAAGGGAGAGAGTGTCATAAAGAGATTGTAACAACTTTTGATTATAAAATCAACTAAGAGAGGTATACTGTATAAAAAGAAAGACCTTATTTAAACACACTTAAGGTGTACATGATGAAGTAGTGTTGAAGAATGCATACATTGACAATACCAGTAATTAGTGACAATTAGAGAAAACATACCATTATCTATTATCAAATTACAAGCAGTACAGTATGTACTAACACCTGTCAAATTCTGTAATTATACAAAAACCAGTGAAAGGCCTTGATCATTGTAGACTTGTCATAGCTCCAGTTACAATACTGTATGTATATCAAAGTTAAGGTACCCTCTACTGAATCATACAATTTCTCATCAGCTGATGGCCGGAATTTTTAAAGAAAATAGTAGCTGCCTTTTAATACTTAATGAGAGGCTACTGTTGTGCATTGTAACAGATTGTTTGGTTATTATTATTTCTGGTATTAGCAATGCGTTCTTGTCATTCCACTATGATCAATACAGAAGCTTGTAGATACTTTTCATCAAAACATACGTATATCAAGATACAACTGAAAATGTTTGGCCAACAAAAATTTTTTTTACATGGTAGCTAGTAAACATTAAAGTCAATGATATTCAGTAAGTAAAAAGTATTGGGAAAAAATAAGTCACAAAATTTGCCGGGCCAAGGAGGCAAACACAATTACAAAATAATAGTATACTAATAATATACTGCTAAGTGCTAATATACCAATAATATACAAATAATATGTCACTTAGTAAACTCTTGAAGTCAACATTCTTGTACAGTTGTACTTCCTCATCAGTCATATTTTTACTTAGTCCCTAAAAATATTGTTACTATAAATGAAT